ACACACACACACACACACACACACACACGACTTCAGTGCTGTTTCTACCATAACACAGTATTAAGTTTTTCTTTTTTTTTTTTTTTTAATGTGGTGCTGAGGATCGAACCAGTGCCTCATATGCTCATATGTGCGAGGCAAGTGCTCTGACACTGAGCCACAACTCCAGCCCAGTGTTAAGTTTTTCAAAAATTAGTTTTCTGTGAAAGAAGTTCTGACCTCTTCTAAGGACTTGCATCCTTTACTTTCCAGTAGTAGAAATTTAAGTTGTGTAAATTAGCCACTATTGCTGTTTTGACAGGCTTCCCCTTCATCAAAGCAGAGTTTCTGATGGGATGTAACAGAGTTCTGCTCGTTAAGCAGTTTAATGTTTAGAAAAACAAAAAGTTGTATGGTTGTTACTGTTAAAGGTAAATCATTATAAGCTTGTTGTTGCTTTTTCCCCTAGTATGACCTGTCAGCTTCTACGTTCTCTCCTGATGGAAGAGTTTTTCAAGTTGAATATGCTATGAAGGCTGTAGAAAATAGTAGGTAAGAAACTTGTTTCACTCGAAGTAAATGTGTTTTAACCAGGTGTAAATATTTTAATTTTTAATGTTTTGTAATTAGGCTGTTATGTACTGTGGCACATAAAAGTATATTCCATAAAATAATTTATTATACATTTACAGTTTCTTGTCCAGATCTTTTCCATGAGCACCGACTCTATACTTCCAGTTGATTCTCCTTAGATATCCGTGTCTCAAATATAGTGTATAAATCTACATTTATTATCATCTTTTCCAGCCCATTTTCCTTTTTGAAATTCTTGATTGATACCATTGTTTTTCTTGACCATTAGGTTTCTTATCTGTTGTCCTATTTTTTAAATTTCTCATGCATTTTGTGTTTTAAAGTCCTATATGCAGTTATTCACATTTGTCTCAGCAGACTCCCTCACCCCCACCCCCCACCAATTTCCATTTCTACTGCCTCTCTCCAAAAGGTGGGGATTTGCGAAGATCTTTTCCTGTTGGGTACTGTTACTTTATTATGTCTTTTATTGTTTTGAGTAGTTACTTGTTTTTGCATGTGTTGACACATGGGAAACCCTTAGTACTTAATGAGCAAATGTTCATTTTATGTGCCATCTTTTGAGTGGTAGAATGAAGGAACATGAATTTCAAAAGGTTTATGAAATATTTTTAAAATTTTGAGCAAAAATTAAATCTTAACTCCTGGTATTTGTAATAAATGTGCTGAATTTTGTGTTTAAATGTATTATTAGAGATATTATCGGTACTACAAGCTATTGGTATCTGGTAGTATAATAAAAAAAAAACACCTAAGAATTTTAGACTGAAGTATGTTTGTCATTCTTTACAAAACCTGATAGAATTCAAACTTTTTTTGGCACTGAAGATTAAACCCATTGATGCTTTACCAGGAAGCAATATTCCCAGCCCTTTTTGTTTTCTGAGGCAGGTTTTCTGAGTTTCTGAGGCTAGCTTTGAACTAGTGATCCTCCTGCCTCAACCTTCCAAGACGCTGGGATTATAGGCATGTGCCATTGTACCTGTCTAGAATTCAGATATTAAGAAAAAGTTGATGGATATGGTGGCATGTATCTGTATTCCCAGGTACGTCAAAAGGTGAGGCAGGAGAATCAATTGAGCTCTGGGGTTTGAAGCTAACCTGGGCAATATAGTGAGATTCTGTGTCCCAAAAAAAAAAAAAAAGACATTTTCTTCTGGCTGACAAAGGAATTTGGGTTCTTGGAACAAGGAGCTGGAGAGACTTAGCCAAGTTACAGAAAAACATCCTCCTTTGTTTTCTTGTGTTTTCTTCTTCTTTTTTTTTTTTTTTTTTTTTTAGTATTTTTTTCAGTTGTTGATGGACCTTTATTTTATTCATTTATTTATATGTGGTGCTGAAAGTCGAACCCAGTGCCTCACACACGTGAGGCAAGCACTCTACCACTGAGCCACAACCCCAGCCCTGTATTCTTGCATTTTCACTGGTGTGAAAACAAAGTTAAGTCTTGACTACGAGAAAAATTAGGGATATATCTTGAAACCATCTATATAGCCCTGAAAATTGAGGCTTAGCTGTGAGGAATTGTATATCTTAGGAATTCGTTTTCTGTAAAATACCTCTAAATATTTATAACAGTTACATTTAAGAAAACAGGAGTAAATAAATATATTAAGTAAATAAAAATATTTTTAGGAACTGAAACCTAAAAAGGCATGACATTTTGTTTCCTTTTTCTTTTTCTTGAATATGGGGTTTCTCTGTTGGTTCTATGAATGTAACTTTCTAATATTTTTTTTGTGCTGAGGATCAAACCCAGGGCCTCAGGCATTCTCTGCATACTACAGTACATTGAGCCACATCCCTAGACCCTGAATGTTGCCTTTTTTCTCTGTAAAATTGGGATTTAAGATGTCTACCTAGTTTACATAACCTTCCCATAACAACCAAATATATGTAACACAGTTGGAAAATTTTTGAGTGCTACATTTTTAAGTGCACAATTGCATATTAAGAATAATAACAATAAATGAAAAAATAACTTGTTTCAAAATACAAAAATCAGTGAGAAAAAAGGCATTATTCTACAGGTTTCATATCTTTGTTCTACCTATTATGTCTTATTGAAGTACGTGAAGCAAATCAGGCTTCACCCAGATTGGGAAAATGGGGAGTATAATAGACTTCTCAGATAATTATGGACCTAATTCTTTAATACTACACCAGAACTGATGGTAATGATGAAGTCTAGAAACAATAAACTCCTACTTTGTTACACTAAAATGCAGTGGACTGTCATGCATGACTTTGTACCATCCTGGCTTGGTCATTTGGAAAATACAGTTCATAGAGTTACAACAGATGTCCCAAATTATACAAACTATCAAAACATCACATTTGTTAATATCACCACCACCAGTGTCAACTTGAAAGTTTGTAAATATTGGGAAGCAGACAAGAATTTTTATAATGGTGAATATAAGTTTTCTAAAATTTCAGTTTTTGCTTGAAAATTCAATTTTTATCATTGACAAGAAATTCTGTCAGTTTCCCTTGAAGTAACAGTTTCATGTTATATATTTTAGGGAAACTGTCTGCCATATAACTAAATGTAAATAACCATAGTTTATCTGTCATTAGTTCTGTAAAATGAATAACCCCTGGGTACATCACCTTCTGTGTGAATAGCTCTGGGTCAGACATTTAATCCTATAAGAAAATTCACAACTCAAAAGAACAAAACCAAACCAACCCATGTACTAGTGCTTTTTGTCTTGAGGTGCCCATATTTTTGTCTTTAACAGCACTTTGCCTCCAGTTTCATTAGTAGAATATTAAAAAGACAGATACTTGCTGGGTGGCTCATACCTGTAATCTCAGCTACTTGGGAGGCTGAGGCAGGAGGAACTGGGGTTGTCTCAAAATAAAAAACAAAAAAGATCTGTAGCTCAGTGGTTTTTGCTGGTGGGGTGGTGGTGATGGTAATGAACTCAAGGGTTCAGATTAAATTAAGTGTTCCTTCATTAAGGACATTCTTTACTAAAAGCAACTTTTTAAATATGTGATAGCAGAACAGAGGATACATTTCTAAGTACTTTACACTTATTGTTTGTGGTCACTGCATTGATTCATGTTAAAATGCCAGCAGCCTTACCCACCACTGCTCTGTATTATCAGTGCAAATGCCCACACAGTGGATAGGTATAAATGAGGTCTTTGGCTTCATGGATATTATCTCTAAAAGTTTCTCAGAGATTCTCAGAAAGTTTCCAAACTACATGTCGAGAACTTTTGATTTAGAATAAAAATTGCTTTAGATTCTCAACAGTGAGGAAAAAAGAATTGGCTTAAGTTCAAGTATATTGCATATGTCTGTGGAAATTTATTTAAATATGCAGTTATTTAAGAAGAAGTGCACCCTAGCTCCCAGAATAACTTGATTGAGGCAGAAGTGAATATGAGGGATGATGGTGAGGTTAATTTCAGTATAGGTGTTGGAGGCATGACAGTGTTGGAGGCATGGCAGTGAGGTTAATGAGATTCTTAACAGAAAATTAAGCCCAGTTGACTTTGCTAGATTCTCTGGATTTTTACCTAGGAAGCTTGGAAAGGACTTTCAACTTGATAGGGGCATTGAAGGCATCTAAAAATGTTGAGGGGCAGGGGGAAGAGCTGAATTCTTAGATAATTTTATCATGG